AAAGCTTGATAAAAATATCAGTGAAAGTTTTAAGACTGCCTAGTTATAATTTATTTATATAATTCTATATAAATATGTATGTCGTATAAGATCATGTATCTTACATTTGTGGTTTGTTATCACATATGGTACTTACACGTGGGAGGAACTGAAAGATGGAGTTCTTATTATAACTTGTCAGGAGTTCTTATGTTAACTGTCATGGGGTTCCTGGTTTTGTCGGTAAACTGAACTGTAAACTGGAGAAACACACTTGAAAAATAGTGATTTTTACCTCTAAATGGGGAGTTTGAGATGCTAATTTAAACGTTGATGATTAGGCTTTCCCTACAAATTGTATTACGTGTCAGGAAAAACTTTATAGTCAATTTTTCATGGACTTTTTACGATAACTTTTGTTACTGCCAGTGTCTAGGGCCAAGTTACGGCACGTTTTGGCGGCTTTAATTAGTCAATAAGTGTGTTAATCATTATGAAGCGTAGTAAGCTTATCTTTTGCACAGAAATTAGGTTATATGTTGGTTTAAGGTGTATTCAGTTTTCGAGAGATATTTTTTCTTATCTCCGTTTGTGTGCGTTTTTAGCTCACCTGTCACAAAGTGATATGGTGAGCTTTTATGATCGCTGTTCGCCGGGTGTCCGTCCGTCCGTAAACTTTTTAATTTAAACGACATCTCCTAATAAACCACTTAGTCAATTCCATCTAAACTTCACAGGAATGTTTCTTTGGTAGTCAACTTTAAAAAATGTTCAATTTTATTCCATGCAGAACTCTGGTTGCCATGGCAACCGAAAAAACTTTAAATATCTTCCTTTTACAAACCGAAAGAGCTAGAGCTTAAATATTTGGCGTGACACATTGTCCAGTGTGTGTCTACCAACTTTGTTCAAATAAAAGCCCTGGGGTCAAAATTGACCTCGCCCGGGGGTCATTGATCTTCCTTATTTGTATGTAGTAAAGATTTAAAAAATATTCTTTTAAAAAACCCAAATAGTTAGGGCTTAGATATTAAGCATAAAGCATCTTCTAGTAGGTGTCTACCAAGTTTTGTTCAAATAAAAGCCCTGGGGTTAAAATTGGCCACGCCCCAGGGGGTCATTGTTTTCCCCTTTATGTATTTAGAAAAAAATATAAAAAACCTTCTTTTGAAAAACCCTTAGAGCTAGAGCTAAGATATTTAGCGTTAAACATCTTCTTATGTGTGTCTACCAAGTTTGTTCAAATAAGGGCCCTTGGGTTAAAATTGGGGATCATTGTTTTTCCTATATGTGAATAGTGAAAACTTAAAAAATCATTTTTTTAAAAACACCAAAGAGCTTAGATATTTATCTTCTAATTGGTGTCTACCAAGTTCGTTCAAATAAAAAACCCTGATTTAAAATTGGCACGCCCTTGGGACCTATATACAGATGAGCGATTTCAGGGCCATCATGACCCTCTTGTTTTAATTTATACTCAGATTTTGTAGAAAAAAGGCTTGATGCAGATCATTAATTGACTTACAGGATAAAATACGCTTTAAATTCAATGCTCAAGCATGGTTACTTCATGTATACATCATTCCTGTCAGTTTTAGAGAACATTAAGTAACTATGATATCGGTCTGCCAAAACAAATTACCTGTAAATGGTTTGCAGCAGAAACATGAAGTAGTATTTAAATTAAATGTGATGGGGTCATCTTTAGGTATTCAACGGATATTTTAATTTCTTAAAGGTATTAATTTTTGCCATAGAGTCGTAGAAAATTCTATGACAACTATATGTCAATAAAAAAGTAATTCTTTAATATTAGATATATTCATGCCGTTGATCGACAATGGTCCTTTCTTTAGTCAATCCAATTTAGCATCACGTGACTTGATAAGAAAAATGTATACGAGGACGTTTTTATGATTCTCTGAATTCATGTGAGTGTTAATTATGTTTAATTGTATTCCTCATTAACTGACAAAATATTGTAATTGCCCACATTATTAAAAAAGAGAATAATTTTACTTTCTATAGTATTTATATTGATTATTGCCATATCATATGTTCATACAAATTTAAAATCTACAATCACGTTAGTAACATAGTTCATGGTTAAAAATATTACAAACAGTGAATAAAATGATTTGAATATTTTGATTGTACAATTGAAATAAGTACATGCACTTATCTTAACAATTTAGAGAGTAACCTTTGTAAATATTCTTATTCTGTTGTTCATTTAATAAACACTTTTAAAAATGATCAGTCGGTTACTCATTCTTTGAAGTATATATGGTTGACTGCATGCTTGTCATCAAAATAATTTCCCCTCTTATCCTCTTATCTGTTAAAAGGTGAAATATTACACTTTCATTTATCAGCATTCCAACACTGAAATATGAATTTCAGTTAAATGCGGCTTGTCTTTTACTATAGATTTACAAAACTGTATGTCCACACAATATAATTGTTACCATCATTAGAAATAAAATTTGTCATAATTTAAGTTTCTGTAAATTAAATTTTAATGACTTTCAGCATTTATTTGTTCATTTATACTTTAAAGTCACATATACTAGTAAAGCACTGAAAGATGAAAAAAATATACGTTGACTTTAAGAAAGCAGCTATTATTAAGCTGATGGATACCAAATTATACCAAAGTGTGTGTTTTTTTTTTTCAAATTTATGTTTGTTTAATAAAATTCCTTTTTCAGTAAACTGCCAATATATTTGAACCAACTCGTGTTTTCAAAATTGAGTATTTATTTCTTTCTCTGCGAGAAGTCATATGATAACTGTATTGACTAAATAACTTGGCTATATTGTCTCCTAAGTCACCATGTAAAAGACAAGAGCGATCAGTAATCACATGTGTCGCCTCATGATGGCCAATTTCATGTTGGGACAAATTTTGTGACAGACAGACAGACGGACAGTGCACAACTAGACTTGGTACTGATCATTCCTGTAAAGTTTGGATAAAATTGCACCAGTAGTTTATGAGGGGTAGTCCGGACAAGCTTTTGCGTATCTGGCAACACACAGAAAAAAAGACCTTTTTATCAAAGGGCCATAACTCGGCCAAAAATCATTCAACCGGAAAACCCGTGAAATATACGCAAGAACTCGAGCTACAGATCAATCCTGTAAAGTTTCATTGAAATTGCATTAGTGGTATAAGAGAAGTAGTCCGGACAAACTTTAAAAATAAAAATTATTAAAGGGTCATAACTCTGACAAAAATCATTGAACCGGAAAATGCTGACAATATGCACAACTAAACTTGGTACTGATCATTCCTGTAAAGTTTCAATGAAAGTGCACCAGTAGTTTATGAGGAGTAGTCCGGACAAGCTTTTGTGTATCTGGCAACACACAGAAAAAAACACCGTTTTGTCAAAGGGCCATTACTCGGCCAAAAATCATTCAACCGGAAAACCCGTGCAATATGCGCAAGGACTTGAGCTATAGATCAATCCTGTAAAGTTTCATTGAAATTACATTAGTGGTATAAGAGAAGTAGTCCGGACAAACTTTAAAATTAAAAATTATTAAAGGGCCATAACTCTGACAAAAATCACTGAACCGGAAAATGCTGACAATATGCACAACTACACTTGGTACTGATCATTCCTGTAAAGTTTGGATGAAATTGCACCAGTAGTTTATGAGCAGTAGTTCGGACAAGTTTTGTGACGGACGGACGGACAGACAGACAGACGGACAGACAGACAGACGACGGAGAAGTGATCCCTATATGTCGCCACTACTCCGTAGAGGCGACACAGAAATGATATCGTGCTGATATGACTGACTGTTGTTATATGGTATACGAGCGTTGAAATCTTTTGCTTACTCATAACAAACTTTGCCGGCCAGAAGCACATACAAAATCAATCAGAACCCTGGCTAATGGTTTACGAGCCTTAGGTAAATAATCTTTTGTGTCATAGTTGTATAATAATTGTCAAAAGCAGAGACATTGTTTATTACCTATTTCACTTCCTGCTTAAAAACTATGACTGAATTAAAATAGTATACGTCGCCATGTTAATAAATGTAATTAAAACTCTGAGGACACATATCACAAAATGCAAACTTAGTCCTATAGTCCAAATATTAATTGCTTTGAATCAAAACAAGAAGTTAGGTTTCATACGTAAATTGATATAAGACTACAAACTGTTTTAGCACGTCACAGAAATCTTAATGTGTGCTACTGTCAGCAAATCATAGAAATATATGCACCTTTCTTCAATTAATTAACATGCACAGAATTTGTATAATAATTTTCCGCCTGATTTTATAACTCAATAACGATTTTGAATCAATAACGATTCGATTCCAGTGCACGTAGTATAAGTTTCAAAGCAAATATCATTAAAATGGTATGTTAAAACTTGCAGACATTTTATATTTCACCTCCTTGTTGAAAGTAAGTATCATAGTTGACCATTCCGCGCATCAAAAATGATTGGGAATTAAAGGTCATTATTAAATCACTTATTCCTCTTAATTGGTTCGAATCTCTGATTATAAATTTTGTTTCTTCATATAGGTTGCAGAGGTATGCGGTTTAAGCATTCTTTTACTTGGGAACCATACGCCGCTTTTCATGGAATGGCACTCCTGTGTCACATTGAAGGTTCCGTGATAACCGCCGTATGAACACATCTGCGGATGTTTCTAAATTCAAAATTTCACCATTTTCATGTAAATGTTGAATTCTGCTTAAGCCGGTGCTACTGGGTGTGGACGGTAACTTGCATTTTTCAGTACCGTCCATGAACAGGCTCAATCAAACCGATCCTGCAACATTTTCAATTTTGTTGTGTTGGGCTTTCTTTAGGGATTCTTTATTTCTCTATTTTATTATCACATCCGTGTTATTTGTGCCATGTGGCGGCTGTAAAATGTCTCCCCGTACATTTAATCAATGATGTTATATTTTCGATCCTTGAACATCGTTCAACACGACATTATTGTTGTGTATACATGTAGTGTGGTACTTTTAGTTTCTTCATTTTCGCTTTGGGTGGTTCCAGTATTCCTACTTGAAATATGATAAGCAGGATCATCAAGGAAATACTGTATAATCAGCCTTAGGATATGCTGCCTGCTTTTTAAATTTGTCATTTGACGTGTTATCTGTGATATGCAGGCTTCATAACCTCCGATCCCCTTTCAAAATTCCATTTTATTTAGTTCCGCCAATTGTTTTCTCGTTTAGGGGCAAAAGCATTCTTTTACTTGGGGACCATACGCCGCTTTTCATGGAATGGCACTCCTGTGTCACATTGAAGGTTCCATGATAACCGCCGTATGAACACATCTGCGGATGTTTCTAAATTCAAATTTCAAAATTTCACCATTTTCGTGTAAATGTTGAATTCTGCTTAAGCCGGTGCTAGGGGGCGTGGACGGTAACTTGCACTTTTCAGTACCGTCCATGAAAAGGCTCAATCAAACCGAGCCTGCAACATTTTCAATTTTGTTGTGTTGGGCTTTCTTTAGGGATTCTGTATTTCTCTATTTTAAAACATTTGTCTGGGTGTACATAAAATAATATATACAGGGGTACCGAATATTTAAGATCTCTCATGTAGGTAAGACTAAACTCACAACCAATCCATAACAAATAAGTCAGTATATAATAAAGCACTATGTACTTTGTATCGTCTGCTTATAAAAATCGCGGAAAGCAATTTATATAGATGAGAATATAATGAATTTTTCGACTTCTTTATTGAGAATCTATTTATATTTGAATAGTTACATTATGTGTTTAATATCACAGATATTTTTCTTTTGTCAGAGTGATATAAGAGCGTCCCTCTTCTGCCTTACAGTCTATATCAATGGCTGAAAGTGTCTGACCCCAATGCGAATGACTCTTTTCTCCTGTTCTATAAAACTTGCACTGAAGACTTGTTTTCATTGTTTTACCATCCTGAAACTAAATATATATCGTGTTTATACAGAACAGATATTGCAATAAGATGCGGAATGGTCTTAGTGTGTGCTACCGATTCATTTCCGACGGTTTTCATGTTTGTACTATCCTTAGTTTTCATTTTTCATTAGGCTGCTAGGTGGCCAGACTGCTAACTTCACAAATTTCGAAGCGTTAGAATGAACAGAAATTAAAGTTCAATTTCTTAAAATAAAGATCACGATATTTAAATAAGATGTGGAATGGTCTACGGACTATCCTTTTTCTTAAAAAAAAGTCTTTTTTATCAATAATTTACACTGGCAATTCATAGAAATATGTTTATATAACTTTCAACCATCGTCTTTATCACTGTCTTATTTTGTCACTGAGTCACTGTTTCTCGCTGTTTTAGCATAATATGATTAATATCTTCCACTGATTAGTTTAAAATTTTAAAAAAACTAGATAGGAGTGTTATTTGCGAAGACAGGAACAGTAAACATTTTACAAACGAACAGAAACAAATAAAATAGACAATATATTTTACTTCAAATGATAATGGAATATTTTTTCTGCTTCCGCCTTTGCTGACGTCATATCCAATAGTTGAGTAATGTATAATATACGTTTTAGAATCTCTGTCATCTCTATTACCTACAGCAATATTATCTGATAATGTCTGAGATTCTCCGTTTATCATAAGCCTCCTTTAGAATAAAATATAAAACATATTCAAGTCACGTAGTACGAAATAACAAATCTCTTATAAAAGAAACTACTTTGAATACCTATTTAAATATGTGTAAATGCCAGGTTAATTGTTATTTCCTCTGTATGTTTTTCGATTTCATCTTTTATATAAATTTGTCATTTGTAAGTTACAGTATGTAAATGTTTTTTTAATTGTAAAAAATAAGTATTATCGAAAAAGATTTACATATTTATTGTAAATTCGTTTCACAAATGTATGTGAAACCATAAAATGTTTATTTTCTTTGCTTGATTATACTACAATCTTTAATTTGTTATTTTTATTAATAGTTTGATTAGGCTGATAAATAAATCAAATATAAATGGTAATATTTATACTCAATGATGATTGCAGGTCGGGTAGCTACACTAATCTCATACTCCGTATCTGTACTCAACTTTACAGTGACAGCCTGACCAAATCTCTCACCATCTTGTTTATAACTAACAACTTCTCCACTTTTCTTGTCCACAAGCCGTAATTTCACTTTAAATTCCGTTGTCATTTTGTTAAAAATACCTTTATATAATTTACGTGATGCAGGACGTCCCCGTATTTTATTTTAGTATCACTAAATAACAGTATCAAATTTCATCAGTTTGTTAAAAATTCTTGTATTGCATTTTCAACATCACTAAACGGAATCTGCGTCTGCTATTGAGCGTGTGATAGCTTCTCACGTGCATTTATTGATTCCTGATTCATTCTGAGATATCATTGTCGAATGATTCAACATCTGCAGTATAGTCCTGTACAATATGCTATTTAATACAAGATATATTCAAGTCACATAATTGTAAAAATTAATACATGTTTAAGCATAAATTTAAAATTAAATATTATTTAAATAACACTATAACTAGACATTTTCATGCAATTTTCGCATGTCAACATGTGCACTATACTAATTTAAAACATCTCTTAATGTAATGTCCATTCAATTCACTGAACATGTATATATTCATAATACATGTACTGAACTTTATATAGAATATAAATAGAATAGAAACACTGCATACTGATCTACTTTCTTTATATATTGTTACACTATAGGTACGTTTACATCGTGTATATAAAGACATACAATTAAGATATAGTTCACTAGAATCTCGGTATGTCTCGTTCTGGCACGGTGACTTATATTGTACCGCGTGCTCATCTAGTAGTTATACATTATAGATCAACGCTATATATATAGTACAGTATGCATGCTTTAAGATAAACTAATATGGTTTTATTCACCAGAGAAATTGATTATTAAACAAATATAACAAAAAATGATCTTAAAGACCCACAAGGCAAAACGACGCTCCAACAAAATCCAGTCGGAATAGCACCTAGTAAGGCTACGAAAAAATAAACAATACAATATACATTGCTGTAATTTAAGATACGTTCAATAAGAGAACAATTCGAACAATATGATTGATATATGTGTGCCTTGTTTTGTGTGGATGTAAAAGTCCTGGTCAATACTCAATATGTTGTACCTAATTACCCTTTAAGGAAATGATTATTGAGATGAAAAATTGAAGTATAAAAAATAATCTTTCAAAATTCAAAATATACCATACATCAGTACTTTAACTTTATATAAGTATTTCAATTGATATGTATACGAATATATACGATAAAGCACGTGTAACAGCGATTTACAGGCAGATTGATATGTTCTGCATAAATACAATTTAAGTGCCGTAAGAAACGGGGGAGGAAGTGTTACACGAAGGATGGAGTTCTTATGATAATTTGTTCAGGAGTTCTTGTGATAACTGTCACGGAGGTCGTCGGAAAACATCTGTATATATTACAAAAACACTCGTTAAAAATGGTTATTTTCATCGTTCAAAAATGAGTTTTAGGTGCTAAATTAAACTTTAATAATTAAGCTGGTCTTACATCTTTTATTACGTGTCAAAAAATAAACCACATGCCATTTTTAATCGCCTCTTGCTATAAATCTGGAAGTTTTCAGTAAAATTAAAATTTCCAAATTTTTTGCCAATTCACAAGTATTGACCGGTTTATTTCTGGTCTTCATCCTTGGCATACATAATTACCTAATTATAATGCAAAATTGCAAACATAAAACACAGGCTAACAGATTTGTACCCGATTTTTCAAATGTCCCGGAGTTCTTGTGATAACTCTGAAGATGTCACAGAGTTCTTATGATAACCTTTGTTATTGCCAGTATGTTTTTTGCGCTTAATCACGGCACGTTTTGGCGTTTATTGTCATTCAATAAGATTGTGTAAATCAATATGAAATGTAGTACGCTCATCCTTTGCGCAAAAACAATAGCATATATAATGTTGGTCTTGAGTGAATTTTAGTTCTAAAGATATTATTTCGTACCCCGTTTCTTTTTCATAGATTTTTTGATGTTTGACGCAGATTTCGTTGACTGGAAAAAGGATTTATGTAATGGTTTTCGGCTCCTAGCAGTATTCTAGCCCTTTATCATTTTCATCCAGGCATACAGACTATTGTTTCTCAGTTAAGCATCTATGTTACTGCATCAGTCAGAAAAACATTTGTTTTCTATGTTAAACAGCAGTTATAATACAGCGATTAATATGTTTCAAAGTTTTGTCTGTTGTTTTAAGTTACATTAGAGAACTTGTGACACTTACAAGCAACAACTGGGGAATTCTATGCAAAATAACTGAAATCCTATTCTAGGTAAATCACTACTTTTAAACAATATATCTGCAGACGACACGGAAAAGTTTGGGAAGTTATATCTATTTGAAAAACCCAGCTTAACATCGCTTATTGGTACTGAATTATATTCAAAATAAAAAAAGGTCCGAAAAACTGCATGCTATGAAATTTTGAATAAATGTGAGCAAAGGTGTTACATCTCAGGCCTTTATTCCATTAAAATGTAAAATAAAAGAGCAATATTAAAACATGGTAATGCTGGACAGGTACCTAAATTTGTTCTGTCAAAGTTTGCACTCTTCGGTAGACAGATTTTTATTTTATTTGTTAAAAAGTGCGATTTGGGACCGGGAACTGATATGAAACCAATAGGGCATTTATGTACGTGATAAAATGCGCTTTGAAATACTCAAATATGGTATTTTCATGCATATTTTTCTGTCGATGTTTGATGAGTATTGTAAATCTCAAATGTCTAGTCTGATCCTGGAATGATCCCTTTTTGAACAGCACAGTTAAATCCAAGTTAAATCCACAAGAATAATTTAATCTATTTTAAAATCCAAGCTTAATATCCAAGTTGAATAATACTCCAAGTATATTGATGACTTAAAAAGTAAAGAAACTGAAAAATGTCCACTTATATGTTTTAGCTAAGATCATTCCAGATCAGTCTTTTATGTTCTTCATATTCTTCAGTAATCATAATCTAGCACCTTCAACAGTAAAGAATAATCTGGAAATTTCTATCTAAATATAATGCATGAATCATAATCTAGAATTTTCTACAACAGTTAAGAAACTTCTTGTTAAATCTTTTGTTTACATTTACTAAGGTACACATGTAATTTATGTTCTAAAAATATAACAGTGATAATATTGGAAATACCAACTTGTCAGAAATAAACTATATACATGTAATATGTTGCATACATAACACCGTATTAGGGACGATCAAGTTGACTCTTTGAGGACGAGTTGACCAAAAGTAGGGGACGAGTAGATCAAAAAGGTGTCGAGATGACCACGGGACGAGTTGACCACGGGACGAGTTGACCGGATTGCGACGAGTTGATCAAAAGTAGGGGACGATTTGACCATATTATTGACGAGTTGACTCTTTGAGGACGAGTTGACCAAAAGTAGGGGACGAGTTGACCAAAAAGGTGTCGAGATGACCACGGGACGAGTTGACCACGTGACGAGTTGACCGGATTGTGAACCTGGAGGGACAGTTCAAATTCGTTCGAGAAATCGGTAGTGAGAGCCAACCGCAGTTGAGTTTTAATCATGTATCGTACTTTTTAAATACATAGGTGTGAAAATTATCCTGGTTATATATTCATTTATTATTGTATAAAATGATACAAATTACTTAGCCCTTAGATAAGGGAAGCATGCCTATATATTGTCTGCTTAAGATGGTGATTGCTTAAAACATGTGAAACTGAGAACAACGTGTACGTTTTGAGACATTTTTGTTTTGTGGTTTAAGCCATTATACTGCTGAATATCAGTGGCCGCTGGATCAATTTTTACTGTAGATGATAGCCTACCACCTATACATCCTTTGCAGACACATTTTTGTGCAAAGGATGATCGTACTGCATTTCATAATGATTTACAATCTTATTGAATGACAATAAACGCCAAAACGTGCCGTGATTTAGCGCAAGAAACACACTGGCAATAACAAAAGTTATCATAAGAACTCTGTGACATCTTCAGAGTTATCACAAGAACTCCGGGGCATTTGAAAAATCGGGTACAAATCTGTTAGCCTGTGCTTTATGTTTGCAATTTTGCATTATGATTAGGTAATTATGTATAGCTAAGATGAAGACCAGAAATAAACCGGTCAAAACTTGTGAATTGGGAAATAATTTTGAAGTTTTACTCAAAACTACCAGATTTATAGCAAGAGGCGATGAAAAATGGTCTGTGAATTAGGCTTTGACACATAATACAAGATGTAATACAAGCTTAATCATTAAAGTTTAATTTAGCACCTTAAACTCATTTTTGAACGATGAAAATAACCATTTTTGACGGGAGTTTTTGTAGTATATACAGATGTTTGCCGACGACCTCCGTGACAGTTATCACAAGAACTCCTTAACAAGTTACCATCAGAACTTTATCCTTCGTGTAACACTTCCTCCCCCGTGAAAATGTCGGTTGAAAAGCTTTGCATGAACGGAAGTCGAAGAGCGCACATAAATATATATACCAAAACGTTGATTAATTAACTTATTACTGGACGGTACTTTATTAATGAACTGAACACACTGAAAGCAGGATATTCAGGTTTTAATAATGGAGAATTTTACGATTCTGTATAATATACATCTTGATCAAATCAGTGTCACAAAAATAATTCTTCTTCACATATTCTTATTGTGTTTGGACGTTCTATTTGCAAATACAAGTATAATGGATGCCTATATTACCATGAATATATAACTATAAATATTAACTTTGTTTATATCGAATCAGTCGTCATTTCTTATTTTCTATCTGTGTATGTTTGTATCAAAGTTGCAATACATCTCTGTCTCTCTGTCTCTGTCTCTCTCTCTCTCTCTCTCTCTCTCTAGTTAATTAATTTTCCCTTATATTTAACTGGAAAGTAACACTTTTTTACATACCGCAACTAATGTGTGATTAATCGAAACAACCTGCAAAGTATTCTTTTTATGTTATTCGTCTGGAGCCACCATAATCATTGCTCAATTCGATTTCGATATATGCATTTAATGAGTATTATCCATGACTGAAAGTTTTTCCTTTAGTTGTTCTTTAATATTTCGCATGTTTTATCGTACTGTCAGTGTTTTGATTCTTATACCTCCTTAAACATTTGAAACAGAGAAGAAGTAAACTTAAATGAACTAACTCTATTTAATACAGTTTAGTCGCTTTTTTAAACTTGGTAAACTAAATTGACCCATATAATATTGTATTCACTAATTCTATTACATTTTGCCTAGAACTACATTTAAAGGATTTAATATAAAAAATCGACTGCTAATATGATGACTATAACAACACGGATTTTTTTGCAAGATTTGCAAATGACCTTGTCCTAAGCTGTGATAATTTCAAGACTGGGAACAAAAGTAACGTAAATTTAGAATGGGAACAAAAGTAACGTAAATTTAGCATATATAAGACTGGGAATAAAAGTAACGTATATTTAGCACATTAAGTATTATCGTTTACGTAAATATTTCCCATCATAGTGTATGAAGATTTAGTTACCAGTCTAGATTTGTTGACAGAACGAGACAGGAAACAATTAATCATAATTGAAGTTGACAGGAACATGCAAATTAACGCGTCTCTATAATGTAAAAAATACCGTATCTAACAAACGATATAAGATAAAGATCTGGTCGGTCATGATTGACACATAATTAAGTTATTTAGATGTTTCCGAATTATGACAGGAAGTAAAATGACCACAGTGATATGAAAACTTTAACTTTACACTGACCTAGATATTAACGACTGTCGTAAATAACACTACAGTCTAGAGTACACATTATTTACAAGTTTTTATGGCAATATAAAATAGTTTCAAGGTTAAAGGTAGTTTAAGAAGGGAGGAATGTACAGCTTACAGAGTTGTGATATTGTTTACATTATCGGATAAATCAGCTGGCCTTTATTAGTGGAATCTTTCACGTTACTGATAAATAGTCTTAATTCCATAATATGATATAATTACGCGTAATTTAGCTGTGGAATTAACTGATGAAGGTACTTTGGACTTTGCGTTCTGTAATTTAAGACAATTTAAAGACTTACTTCCTACATGATCTAGGATGGATACAAATTTTAAGCTAAGTGTGCGAATTATTGAGCGTGATTCCGGGAAGGCGGTATTTTATAAACATGACGGTCAGAGGTTCGAACAAACTCATACAGTGAAAATGAACGCCGACAAGGAATATGATATCATGTTTACGCTTAATCCGGCGATGGGTATTGAGTAGGTTAAATATTTCATATTATATTTACATGCATTATTACATATTTGAAGCATTAGATTTCTTACTTATATGAAGATCATTTAGTTGTAAATAGGTTATAGGAAAAATAAGTGAGCATTACATAACATTTTATATAAATCCTGTTTTATATAGATCTATCATGGACTGAAACAAATTTATTATATCTTCATTTCAAGTTGAATACATGGCTGTAAGTAGGTCAACATTGTTTATCATGTTTGGACTTTGACATCGATAATCTATTTATATCCTTATAGGTTATGACAAATATCAGCAAAACTTAAAACAATATACTTTATTAGGACCTGTTCCTGTACAAGACCTAAAAAGAGTTGAATATGCGCTTTAGTTTCCCCCTAATAATGAATGAAAAAAATCTATCCTTATTTCATAATTCAATTATTATTATTATTATTATTATTATTATTAGGAATAATATAAGCACTTTAAATTATCCTTATATAATTTTCATGAAATACGTCTTAAGAAGATATCAATAAATTCAATTCTAGGAAGGCCCCTTAGTTTATTTGTTTTGGGTTTTTTTCGTTGTTGTTTTTTCTGAGATGTCAAAAACTATAACTAAATAATAACCGTTTATATCTAAGAAATCTTCAAATAAAAAAGCAAGTAATCATTATTTAAAGTAATTTGTACTATTCAATTCATTATGTTTAAGAAAATGAAGTGTATCAAGATGGGTTGTTTACGTTGTTTTAGTGACTATAATCTAGTAGGATCACTTAATTTCTTGTTTCAGAAAACTCTTACTAAATGGGGAAGCTAATAAAATAGATCGTTGTCATGACAACAATGACGAGTACGAGGACACGAGGACTTACGTCACACACTATGAGACAGTGAGCGTTGACGTCTGCAGACGAGGCAAGCGGAGGGAACTTCTTTTTGTACTAGATGTAAGCATCCTTTTATGATTTCAGGATAATTCCCCGTGTAGTTGATTAAAATTGATATTATCACATGTCCCTTTATTAGTTATATCAATTATATTTATATGTGTATACATCTTCAAATGTAAAATATATTAAAATTACGTCCTTTGGCTGATTAATACTACTGTTGGCAAATTCAAGTCAAATTTGTGTAAAGATGTTTTAATGCAGAAATCATTCTATATTTCAGCTAGATAACGGTGTTTATTTGAAACTGAGTGTACAGTGTAAGGTATATAAACTCGGGGAGACCACTCACTGCAGTTGGGGTCAGCAGTTAGCCGGAATAGAGCTGGATTGTAAAATTGAGGAAGGTCAAAATTATGTCCAGATATTACATGAAAAGTATTTCTGAAGCAATACCATCTTAATCATTAACAACTAAAGTGTTAATCTTCATCTCCAACGTGTCATGAAAAAATCTCTAAAGTGGCACTTATCAATGTGATATGTTAAGATGTCAAGTTGTCGAACTGAAAATTGAGTACAAAAGGAGGAGAAGACAACACAAGTTGATCGAAGAAATCTCCCTCTAGGATTACAAGTCGTGTGATGATGGGCAAGGAGATAAGAATTATATATCTTCAGGCAGGATGTATGGCTGATAATATACTAAACAATAGATAAGAAATGAGATATAATGTACTTCATCGTGAAGTCTATCATATACATGTATAGTTTACTTTTTTGTCAGGTTTACTATGATATTATCTTCAGTTTTGTTTTGACAAGAGTCTGACTGCCAATAAAGATGGCTGGCTCTATTGCAGAGAACATTTTAACAAATATGTTATGATTTATATAAAGCTTAAACATGTTAATGCATATTATTGTTGAAACTTTAGCTGAAAATGCATTCAAATTACATTATTACAAAGTCAACGGACATTTATAAGACTAGCTATCTCGCTGTTTATACGGAGTGATATTGTACTGTAACATTTTTACTTCAATGTCTGTGGAGAACTATTTACCTAAATTATGATTTTGAGTTTTTGATATATCACCGTAGGGAACGTGTTACAGTATCGCGTTTTTCGGTTACAGTATAGAATTTCCAAGATGGAGGATTATTTATGGGAAGAGAGGTAGGTGATTTTTATTCAGGGCCATACTACTAGTAGTGTAGTTTCTAAAAGATGTTTTTGTGCTTTGCTTTTAAGGAACAGAATCCGGTATCTAGTCATATATTTCTTCAGACCCTGCACCGCAGATTTATCTCTATATTGTCTCATAAATATGCAGATTTGACGGTTTAAAAATTTGAATCGAGAGACCAACGCATTTTTCTCCCATTCCGACATTATTTAAGCATGCCTAGATAAAGTAAATCTACAAAACGTTAGTCCTTTATGTTTAGAAACGTTTATAAAAGTAAATGATCAGTTAAACCTATTTTCCTGTTGGTAAAATGCGTTTGAAAAAATAAACAATGTTACAGTATAGAGCGAGGTTAATTTTGAATGGTTACAGCATAGACCTAGCGACTTTGATCCAATTTTGTTACAGTTTATACCCAGATTTCGGTTACAGTTTAGATACTTGCCAAATTTCAAACAAAGTTCGTGTATCCATTATTTTTATGAAATAACTCAAACCTTTCTATTTAATACATTCTTGAAAGGTTGTATTACTTTTTTTCTTCAGCAGAAAAGTGATAGTTTGCTATTTTTCTTACTTTAAGTTTGAGATTGAGACTTTTTGCAGAATAAGTAATGTCCTAAGTAAGGACTGTTTTCACGACAACAACAGTAACTTTTATCGAATTGTAATAAGATTAGTCCAATATATAAGACGTTACAGGCTTGTTATAGTTTATGTCGGTCAAGCCAGACGTCTTAATAGTTATTGCTCAAAAACGCATAGCATCATTAAAAATTAAAAAAATGTCTATTGTCTTGCCTTTCAAGCTTTATTCAAAAGCTTATCTTCTTTTCTTTCAATTTCATGCTCAATCATACATAAAAACTCTGAAACAATGTACTTATCAAATTAAAATAAAACATAAACATCAAACTATTTTTGTCTATCAGCCATGCTGGTTAAGCAAGGTGCTTTACAGATTGATTCCAAATTTTTGAACGAAAAAATATATTTGAACACACTGACGGTATATATGGGCAATTATTTCGTTAAAAAAAAATCCGTTAGAATGTTCTGACTCAGTTAAACGCATGCATTTGAATTAGCCAATCAGATTTCGCGCACTGTACGGTCGCCATTTGTTTATCGGCTGTAAAAGGAATTCAAATACATGAGAGGATTTAATCATGATTTTTCGGATGTGACAGTTTTATTATTTTGACAAAAGGTATTTATTTTTTAGTTTTGTTCATAAATAGGTCAAAACTAATGTAAATACACGTTGTCTTAATTGTTTTTCGTTCCGCCCGATTTTCTGGCGGAACATGCTATGGGTTTTTGAGCAATTTCGATATGACGTTGCTTTGCCCAGTAGCAAAAATATCTCAAAGCGACGTCATATTTATAGGACTATAATGAGAGAAGAAAGATATATTATTGCTTGATTTCATTACACATTATAATAATGCCTATTAGTAATAAAATAGAGAAAAAAGAATCCTTAACAGAAGTCCAACACGGTAAACATGAAAATGTTGCAGGCTCAGTTTGACTAAACCTGTTCATGGACGGTAGTGGTAACTGCAAGCTACCGTTCACGCCTCCTAGCACCGGCTTCAGCAGAATTCACATTAAACATGAACTGGTACACTTCAGATTTTTTAACATCTGTGGATGTGTTCATATGGCGGTTATCATGAAACCTTCAATGTGACACGTTATTGCCATTCTATGAAAAGCGGCATATTACCCGCCAGGTTAAAAATTGCGTGTGCCATAAACGAGAATACAATGAGTGAAACTAAACAAAATGAAATTTTGAGAGGGGATCGGCGGTTATGAAGCCTGCATACCATAGATAAGCTGTCAAAAGACACAATTAACAATCAGGCAATACCCTAAGAATGATTAAAAACAGTATTTAAGTGAGCAATACTGCAACCTTAAATTCTATTTTAAGTTGGAATTTCCATCTACCATAATGTATTTTGTAAGTATTTAAAAGGGTTTATGAACATTTTCAATTTTGTTGTCTTCGAATTTCTTTAGGGATTCTGTTTAACTCTATTTTGTTACGTTTGGCTTTCTTGGATTTAAAGTTTCAACGACACTGAGGTCATGTGAAAACATTCCTGCTTTAGTGTAAAGAAAGACCCCAGATACCCTTTGTGAAACATTTCAGACATTCTAGCCTGACTAGAACCACCGACCTTCCGTAAATTAGCTTGATAGATTCCTCACATACAAAGAATCCAAAGTCATGATTGGATGTCAACTACAGCAGTAAATGAAAGACGGCCTTATCCCGACTCTGCCACTATTATGTACCTCCATCACTAGAGAAGATATTGTAATTGTCTGACCTTAATTTATACTCTATAACTTTCAATATTATTTTTATTTTTTAGAAACATGAAAACTGCTATACAGGATGTCTGAAATAAAAAAAAAACGACTTTTAATTTAATAATGACAAAATAATCGTAACTTCAACAAAGAAGCATTCGAAATGACGCCATGATCATGATTTGATTTGAATGCTTTTGGTTCGAGATGAGAAGGGTCTTTAAATATTGCCTTTTTCAAAATCTATGTTTTGGGTTTTCGTATCCCCGATTGCAACCGAAACCATTTGAACAACTTAATTGGTAGAAAGTAATGTAAATTTCATCACATTTAGTCAAGTAGTTATACTGAGCGGATGAGATTATACACACACATGCGTACAACAGACGGACGAATAGCCATCGTGCCAATATATAAGCTCACAGAGATTTAAAAGTCTATGTAACATTCATACATTTTACCTAGTACATGTATAATTATATAGAAAATATCTAGTCTAAACTGTAACCGAAATCTGGGTATAAACTGTAACGAAATCGGATACAAATCGCTAGGTCTATGCTGTAACCCTGCACAAATTACCTCGCTCTATACTGTAACATTGTTTATTTTTTCAAACGCATTTTACCAACAGAAAAATGGGTTCAACTGGTCATTTACTTTTATAAACGTTTCCTAACATAAAGGACTAACGTTTTGCAGATTTACTTTTTCTAGGCATGCATAAATAATGTCGAAATTGCAGAAAAATGCGTTGGTCTCTCGATTCAAATTTTCAAACTGTCAAATCTGCAAATTTATGAGACAATATAGCGATAAATCTGCGGTGCAGGGTCTGAAGAAATATATGACTAGATACCGGATTCTGTTCCTTACAAGCAAAGCACAAAAACATCTTTTAAAAACTAAACTACTAGTAGTATGGTCCTGAATAAAAATCACCTACCTCTCTTCCCATAAATAATCCTCCATCTTGAAAATTCTATACTGTAACCGAAAAACGCGATACTGTAACACGTTCCCTACGTTGTATATAGCGGTTTTAATATAATGCCTTCTTAGTTATTTAATATATTCATACCTTATTTAACACACCATCTTGTTATAGGGCTCTGTCAGCATGGTTATTTTAGCTATAAATATACGCCAATTTTTATTAAAAAAACACGAAAAGTATACAATTATTTTTGTTTTTTACTTCATTCAGCTGCTGTTACGTATTGTTGTTGTTTTTTCTTTATTTTCAAGGTAATTTTTGTTTATATGTGTACATATGCTACAAATATAGCAGTCATTTAATCATCTATTTTGAGTGCTTTAATATATTCGTTTTGAACCTCGCTACATTTATACTAGATATAGATATCGTGGACATCATTTACTATTTGTCTAAGGTCAGAATTATTATAACCATGGTACTGTAAATAACCATATAAAGAACAAAGATTCATGGATAACTTTATACTAATCAACTATAACTATAACTATACTAATCAATGTTTAAGAAAATTAAATACATGTAGATTGCAATCTGAATTTAGTCAGGCGATTGTCAGGTCGCTTGATCATAATTAATGACCATTTTTTACAGATCATGCCGTTTACTGGGTTGTCGTTATCAAGGTAACCGAGTAACCATACGCATTTGCAAATAGTTCCATTAGGCTCTACTTTACAGAACTACTGTACATTTTGTGACCCGCCCAGTACATCTTTCTATAAATAATGTACAGTCATAACTGACAAATTGTCAAGAAAATATGACATAGGTCATTTTATTTGACTGTACTGATGCAAACTTCATAGAAGTTTCCATATTTCATTTCCTTTGCTTAAAGCTGTGAAGCCTGTTTTATATCTCTAGATGTCATTGTTGTTGTTTTTTTTAATGTTTGACGTTCCATATTGTGGCGTCATCCACATTTTACCTGTATCTAATGTATTTACAGTGCAATTATTGTTATTGGCGACATGATGTGACGACAATGCCTATGAATTCATTAAACATAAACATACCATGCACTTATGCTATCAATCTCAATATCTTTACTGTAAATATAAAAAAGTCAACGTCCTATCGTAATATTGATGATCTAGAAGTTTGCCAAGATAAAAAGCTGATAGAAAAAGACTAGTTAACGTAAAACATAAAAGTCACTGAGGATCAGCTATATTTATTGGGTATATCCTTTATACTGGAGCAAGATTTCCAATAAATCGTTAGGGAGCATGTCTGCATAAGGGGGTTGTATTGGAATTTCTCCATGGCACCATTCATAGCCATACAGCATAAAGAGAACAAATATAATATTGTTCAAGTGACAAATGTATTGATTATTTTAAAATTCATTTACATTGAAAGGTTAAGTTGTGATGGTAATTAATAAATTGAGATGTTTAAATTTCGGATTATGATATAATAGTTACATAGTTTACATGTGAATTAATCAACTCAATGACCATTGTGACATGTTCAATCACAGACAGTGTGATGTATTCATGTACATAATTAGCTCTGATAGTAACAGAGCTGAATCTTAATCTAAAATACCGTCATTCATTTGTGGACATACAACAGTTGAACAGTGTTCAATATTACCTTAGTGTATCGGTAAATTATACATCTAGAAGAGGCTTTATTTCATTTACATATTTGATGGCAACTGACTTTAAATTAACATTTCGAATGAGTGCACGTGCTGCCGGTGATGTCGTCTGTTTCAAACAAGATGGCGAAAGGTTTGATCAGACGCATACAGTGAAATTAAACACGGATACAGAATATGACCTCAAGTTCTCTCTAAAGCCTGCAATATACGTAGAGTAAGTAGATATCGTGTGTATGTGCATATGTTCGTATGTGTGAATATACAGGTACATGGATGGATGTTAATTTATTTATATTCATTTGTTTTAAAGAATTTACGATAACTTTTAGCTTCATTTCAGTACTTTAATCATAAAAAGATAGAACTTATAAAAATTGGTTACAGGAATGATTCAAGAACTTTAAATACAATTGTATACAAAACTAATTCAATGTCAAACCGTTACCTTTATTGCAAGATCAAATGCCACATGAATTTGTTTTATTATACTAACATAAAATAACGCAGACTGGACCAAAAGAACTTTATTATCTAGCTTAAGATGTTTTTCAACATAAAAGATCAATTTCGCTGTACATCAAAGATAAATACGAGTTTCCAAGTATAGTAGCAATCTTTTAGAATCTCTCCTGGAACTGTCACAGCACATCACTTACATTGATTTTGTAGTGTCTATTTGAGAGATGTCTATATTGAGACAAATGTCGACTGCTTGGAGGAAGATCAATTATTAATAACGATTAGAAAGCATTACTGTCAACAACTGATTTAAAATTCTATTTAATATAACAAAGTCTTTGTGACATTAGGGTTTGCTTCTGAGATGTTAGTCATATTGCTGCCATACGTGAATGTACCTTAATGATTTGTGCACTACGTTGTTTTATCATTAGTTTGGAATATTCGACCATTTAAACGATGAATATTACTATGTTTGTGGCTCATATCAATGTTAAGATGAACAATTTTCTCAATCGAATATATTTGTTCACTTTGTTTCTTTCCTTTTTTAAATTGAGAAACTACTTTGTTCAGCGATGTTGATTATCGGATTCGTTGTCAGGTCGGCAACTTCGTATTTGTTATAGAAGCCGATGTAAAAAATTACGTTTTCTTCCAAACCGCAGTAAATATAAAAGGCAACAGAAAAATACACATTATACATGTATATTATTTGTAGAGTTGCGTTAAAGCAGTTTTCTTTTAAATCCTTTGCTTCACTCGGGGAAATCATATCCTGCCAGATACATATATTTATATTGAGACTGACCGTTAACTTGTTCGTTTGCAGTAAACTAATGATAAACGGAGAACTGCACAAACTTGAAGTGTGTAAAGAAATAAAGAATGAGAGCGACGAATTACGGAATTACAAGACACAATACGAAACTTCCGGATATGATGTCAGTAAAAGAGGACAGCGGAAGGAACTACTTTTTGTATTAGAGGTATAATTTTGTTTGTTATAAACATTAATTTTACAGACACTTTCAATTAATTGGCTTACATTATATCTCAAATGAACCTAGATGAACATAAACTACAATAAGAAAATGTACTACTTTACTCAACTGCATACATATAATGCAAGATAGTTTAATACTGTAGACATTGTAAAACTTATATTCATACTTATCCAAATACAAATATGAAGGGACGGAATTAGGCGATGCATCTGAATCTATAATCTCAAATATAACTGATGATATACTGGTTGTTTTCTGTTTCATCTACAAGAGCTTGTTATGAGAAATTATGTATTATTTTAAACAAAAATATGTTTAGAAATATAACCTGATAAGGCTTCGTGGTATTTGTGTGAGAATCAATGTCTATCATAGATCTCCCAGAACTTTGGCTCCGAAAATTATTCTGATAAACAATATCTTGCCGTTGCTAAATGGCATTGATTTATAGATCACACAATTTCCTAAGAGGAAGCTTGCTGTTATATTGTTATAATAAATAATGTTATTATACAATCAATAATGCAAGAAGAATGGCAGGATATATTTATAAAAGGAACGTTTCTTTGCTCTTGTTCACAGCTTAAACATTTGTATACTTAGTCGTTTCAATTTTCAAATATATATTCTGCTTTTTCGAGGAAAACTAAAAAAAGATACAAAAGGAGACTTCGACAATTTATTATGTCATTTTAATAAAAAAAAACTTCAAGACGTAAAATGTATAACTTCAGTCAAAACTTTACTTTCTTTTTTTCAAAATTACACTTTTTCATTTCATTTGTATGGGTTTTAGATCCTCTTATATCTAAATTTCTTGATTAAGACTTAAAACGCGTTAACCAAATTGAACGATTAAAGTTCCGCTATTTTACATGAACACATACAATAAAATACACGTACAAAATGTTCCTTCTGAGTATATGAGATGACCTTATGAATGTTTATTTCAGCTAGAGAATGGTGTGTACATGAAGTTTAGTTTACAATGCAAGATGTATAAAGTTGGTGAGACTGACCACGCGCACTGGGGCCAGAAACTTACAGCTATTGACTTTGATTGTAAAATGGAGGAAGGACACAATTATGTTACAGTAACTAAAGAAAAGTATTTGTGATGTTAACTACTAGTTAGAACTGTGAATATTTGTGAAATTTTAATGTTATAATTACATAGACCCATTATAGAACTAGATTGTCGTGATTGTAGGGCGGAATAGTGGAATATAAAAAATTTCCAAATAAAAACAAACGTTATGATACACAGTATCAAAGAGGACATTTTTTTACCTGTTTTTTTGTTCCTATATTCATGTATATTCATTGAAACAGTTAAGAGAAAACACAGATGCCTACTTTGTGATGCCATTTCGGTGTATTGTGTAATAAATTGCCACATCATTTTCCACTAAGCAACTTTTAAATTACGGATAGGACTCTTCAGTTAAAACACTGAGCCGCAAGAGATTCGAAACTTTACTTACTTGATAAACACGAAATATAACGCAAAACGCCATATTACTTAAACATTTATAACTTAATCGCCAAAATTTGACGAACAGTTCACTTTTTTGTGATAGTATCTTGGTCAATGATATACCACTATAGTCTGCTCAAATTCTCAACCGATAAACGCTTGTTTCGTTGTGTTTTTTTTTTTTTTTATTGTTTGTTTGTTTGGCGACACCGTATCGGTCATATGGCAACGACACAGGAAATATGATTTTGGCTAACCTCTGGTGTTTCAAACTTCAAAGCATCACCAGGAATCAAAACAACCTCACATGCTGGAGCTAACAGATACATAGACTCAAGTTATTCAAACCTATTTAGTTGCCACCATGAGTTCACGTGACACTAAAATAAACTATGATATATTCTCTGTCACTTGCCTACTATATATTATATTCTTTGCTGATAATCATAACACCGGCCTGCTATATTATCAGTTGAGAAACAAGACATGGAATGTTATATGTTCTGAGTTGATAAATTTAACTCTTAACTGTAATATCCTAAGTTGATAAACATGATATATTCTTAGTTGATAAACATAACACTGGACTGTTAAACTCCCTCAGTTAATAAACTTAACTCTTAACTGTAATATCCTCAGTCTATAAACATAATATTTGACTGTTATATATTTTTTAGTTGATAAACAAAGCACTTGACTGTTATTTATTCTCTGTTTATAAACATAACACTGGACTGTTAAACATCCTCAGTTGATAAACTTAACAGTGGACTGTGATATATTCTCAGTTGATAAACTCTGGACTGCTACATACTCTCAGTTAATAATCTTAATTCTGCATCGCTTTGTATTCTTTAAACAAGTGTAACAGGTCTATGTTTTGAAGAATTCACAAATAAAACATGTTTTCAACGAAAACTTGAGTCATTTGTTTTCTACAATTATTCATAAAAACAATGTAAGCTGAATAATTATGTTCATAATTTTATTTCATTTGGAATAATGACAATGTTTTCAACCAACAATTTGAGATGGTGATTCTAGTTGTTGCAGGAGGACACCGGAGAAACTACAATACTTGTCACCCCAATACGTGTGGTCAGCTGACAAACTCTGTACAGATACATCATCACCTGTATTATAATGACATTGTCAGTATCTTAGTAATTAAATCACATTTCAAATTGACCATCATCAAACTGGAATGATGTCCTTTTGAATTAACAGTTATTTATAAATTGAAGTAAACAGAATTAACAACTCCGATAATCAAGTCGGTATATCAGGTAATATGTAAATGTTTCATGTACATGTATATTTTGTATGAAAATTATCTAATCGAAAATGTATGATTTATATTGCCATGGAAAAGACCAAATTATTTTCTAGGTCAAACAAATACAAAAAAGTTGTAAACACTTTCCTTATACGACTAACGGAATACGACTAACCTTTACTCAGATGAACAATGACTATTTGTGTAGCGGACCCATGCCTATTGTCAGTTCCTCTTTCATACATCCTCACTACGTCAGATCCATTAATTTCGATAGATGCAGCAAATTCTACATTTTTCCCGGATAATAGTGTAGTAGAAAACATGTAAAGTCCACTGACTGGTGCCACGAAGACACCATGGTGATTGTTATAACCATTGCCAATGTTCGTGATGACGTCAGAGAAGACGATGTTTTGATGAACGCCAATATGTCCTACATTAAGTTTATTTAATGTTGCCGAAAACGCTACTGTGTCATACGATTGTCTTCTAACTATCAAATAAAGAAGAAAGCATACACCACTTCTGTTTGGTAATATATCTCATTTAAAAGCCTGGCAGGAATGATTTTCATTTTGATTTCTTAAAATGTGTTTTAAAAATGTATAAAAATGTGTATAAAAATGTGTATACTCGAATACCAACGGTTGTAAATGGTGAGATTTTACCAAATGTAATTCAAATCAGTTTGCCCATTAGTTCGGAAGGTCCTAATAAATAAAATAAAATTTTCTTCGTAAACATCTAATTAATATCACTGGGTACCAATCTGACACTTACGATCGGATAACTGAATAATGTATGCTATAATATTGTATGCTTTGATAAAATGATAATTACAATGATAAAACAAATAAGAAGAATGATTTTGAACTATCTAAAACTGGACTTACGTGTCTAATTTTATAGGTTTGTGAAAAACGTGGCTTATAAGGTAGGGTGTGAGCCGAAAACTTCATTACCGCTAAATCTTCTCTTCTGTTACAAAGTTTGATTTTCACAATGTCCTCATCAGTGCAACCACTCTTTATAAAGAAAATATAGAAAATGATTAAGTACCTCTACGTGTGTAATTTTCCATGTCTGACGCAGTGACGCACTGGCTATTTAGTTTTATAAGTGTTTCACCATGAACAACACCGATATTTTTCTGTTTCTCAATAGCGCTTTCAAGTTGCTCTATTTTTTCTTGTTGGCTACGGACTAAATTTTCTAACGTTTCCATTCGATGTAGCAGTTTTCCTGAATCTCCTCTGCCTAAAGTCACTGTTTCATCACTAGAAGCTGCCTTACCAATTAGCAGGACTATAAAACATAATATTAACTTCTGAAACATAATGAATATCTTCACTACAATAAAAACAAATGTATTGCATGTAAGCCAAGTTATAGAGTGTAAGAGGTCATCTAATCTGCTGAGCGGTTCTTTATATGGATCAGATAACCTAGTTAGGTTGCCTTAATTCAGATCTGTAATTTAAACACTTTATTATAATATATTGAAATAATAAAGATTTTATATTTTTGTATAACATATTTCTAAAAAAAAACGACTGTAAATGGATTGGTAACTATCGAGGGACTATAGAAGGGTCGGATAGCATTTCGATTTTTTTTAATTACAGTTCATAACAAACATAATTCAAAATAATAAAACTGATCGTTCAATTTCTTGAAAATACCATCCTCATATGGGAGTTTAGCAAGGATATGTTTAACCGGAAACCAACATATCTTCTAAACAATGCACATTTCGGTGAAAAATATAAATTGGTCCCCATGAATACGGTAAATTGAAGATATCAGGTACATAATCTATTGTATGGGGCATTTTTCTTTGTAGATTAAACAATGGAAGTATAAGCATGCCCATTGATTGGCTCATTTTTGCTGGGATTTACTTATTGTGACGACACAGAAAGGGAAAGCGACCAGATGCTCGTTCATTTGTTACTTTTTTCTGGGCTTTCATATTGTGACAACAGGGAACGTGTTTTTATGTTTGACTATGATTCAAAAGAGAAAGAACATCAAAACACTCGACAACCTGGTTAATACTTGTGGGCTACGCCCCCCCCCCCCCCTCGTACAAATCAAATAACATCGTGTTTCGATGATGCTCTTTCTATTACACATTTATAGAAAAGACTGTTAAATACCACATCAACATGTATGTTTAAAAGCGAAAATGTTGGTCATTTCATTTTGAAAACAGTTTACTTGCCGACGTAGATGTATCAATGTTCATATACAATTGTAAGACACAATGATTGATTAATTCTTTTACGGTATTGGCAGACAAACCTAGAAGAAGATAAGTGTTACCATATCACGCAACATGACATTGATTTTAGTTCATCTCTGTTAATATACCTCCAGTTCCAAGAGACAACTAGTTATATAAGGCTATCTAAATGATGCAAAGTTACAATGATTCATCATGTTATTTTAATGTTAGGACGGATTGTTGATACTGAACTCAGTTCCCCGAATTATTACGTCAAGTATACAACTTTAAATGTTCTGGTTTTATTTCTCTCAAAGAATTGAAACTTTAGATGTTTCAAATTCATTTCCTCTTTTCGCGCGAATGTTAGACTAAATCATGTTATTCGATGTTGGCTTTAAAAGATATTGATTCCTGACACATGGTGTGATATGTACAGAGATTCGCGACAATATAGCGTGATATAATCAGACAAGCTGCTTCATTTACTGATAAGGTAAACTGATTTTGCTGTGTTGGGCTTTCTTTAGGGACTCTGTATTTATATATTATATATAGAGATCTTTAATCGACTGACACTGCGCAGTATCAGGTAAATTATAAATATAAGAATTAGTATATGAATATCTATTGCAAAATCAAAATGAAATAAAGTTTTGGCTTAAATGTTTGTAGTTTACAGATAAGGGAGCGACTTTGCGAAATGTGTCAAACACGTTTTACATCTATAATGGGACTTACGAACATTTTACGTCCCGGACCTAAATGATAATGACTGATTAGCAAAGAGTAAACGGTCTGTAGAATGAGTTATCTATCATATTTATCAGCGTATTGCTGCTGTTGTTGTTGTTTTATTAATTGTTGTTGTTGTTTGTTTTTTTCGGGTGTTTTTTTTTCTTTCGTACTTTGTATACAATATATAAATTATATTAAAATATTTTATCTATACCAATATATCTGTTGATGGAATTCTCACATAGGAAAGACATTTCTGTAACAAAACAACGTTGTAACAAAACGGCCATGTTCTGCATTTGGGTGATGTCAACCGTAGCCAATCGAGAAATTTATATTTACCATAAATATAGCTTCCTATCATATAATTGTGAAATCAGTTAAATCATTTACTTGAAATATACGTAATTCAGAAATTTGATTCAAACAAAAAATGCAAAAACATTAACATAGATGTATATTTGATAAAGATGTACAAACTTTATTCCAAAATCTTTTATTGTAAAACAGAAAAGAAAGCTACTGTATCAAAGTTATTTTTCTTTTCAAAGACAAATTATTGTCACGGTAGAAGAAATATAAATATCACAGAAAGTATCGGGCTGTTAGATATCTAACATAGCCGTTAGATAAATGTTTGTAAAGGTTCTGAAAGTGGCATTGTTTTGCAATATAAATCATGGAGATATTAAAAAAAATATACATGTCACTGTAAGAGATCAAATGATGAATGATATACACAGAATGTCATGTACACTATACTTTCTGGTCGTCGGACTCCGGTACTGAAACAATAATTTCTGTACGTGAAGTTATTTGATTTCCGTTTGTCTTTTTCTCTATTTGCCATCCTATCTTCAGAACACTGTAACAAGACAAGTTTATTTGAAAAGTTACGGATAAGGAAAATCTAAAGGATTAAGAATTAATTAATACATTTTAAATGTTATCTTTATTATTATTGTAATAACAATTATTGCATGAAGCAGCAGTGTCATCATCATCATCATCATCATTATCACCATCATCATCGTCATCATCGTCATCATCATTACGGTATTATTTATTGTAAATTTTCAAATGTACAACTTTGCGTTTTTAAGTCACTGGCTGTTGTAATTTATGGTGTAATGCGACATTTTGGGTTTTTTATCTGACAGTATCAATACATTTTGTGTTACTTACAGTGTTAGAATAACGCAGACGGCATCGAATCCTCCCAGCACGAGGAACACGAGTCCCCGCATGTAGGACACAGTCTCGGCGTAGACAGAACTAGTGATGATGTTAGACAAAAGATGAGATACAACTTCTAATGTTCCAACAGCGCTGAATATGGCTCCTGTCACATAAAATACATTAAATTTTACATCTTAAATACTTTTTTTCAAGGATCTATATAAGTCTGTTTTATACTTTTACTTCCATGTTATTGCTGGAATATATACCCTAGAAGTAAAGTCGCATCACTATTTAATCGTTAAAAGTGCATAAAGGTTACATTCATTTATGATATCTATAAACAGACATTTATCTTTACTACAAGAATTCGTTGGAAATTCAAGGGGAGATAATCAATATTGTGCACAGTCAATAGCAATAGGTTACATATCTGGCATGTTGTTTTTTTCCAGGAGGTAAGTTAAACGGACTCCACTTAGGTTCGTTTGACATCACGGTACTGGAAATATTTTTTTAAGATTAATGCTCCAGTTGATGCAAGTCCAGACCAATAACTTGTGTGCAAAATTTCAGATCGTTCCTTCATTCCGTTTTTTTTTCCAGAATAAGTATTCGTATTGTGTAAAATGACCAAAAATCAAATCGGGATAAGAATAGCACAAATACATAAATTTCTATTTAATCGGAGCATATTTCTTTATTATATTTTGCAAATCTTTCTGTCTTAGTGCTCCAGCTGATCTATGTAAATGAATTAAAATTTTATGTTTTTATACTATTGGACCTCAGTGGAGTTCCTTTCATAAATTGTGACTTTGATATTTTAAAGTCAGATAATGATTTGCTTATAACAGTAAATACCTTGTTTTTCAGGTGGTGTTAAATGTGAAAGGATACTTCGATGCATTGTTACAGAAAGTGGTCCAAAACAACCAACAGCTATAACTGAAAGTATAAATAAAGTTTTCATAAATCTTTCTCAATAACAACATGGTTTCGTACGTAATTATTAGTGTTTATAGTTTGGATATATTTAGGACACCTTGATGTTCACCACTTTATTTTCTATTTCTAATTCATTAATAACCACAAACTTAAAAGAAATGTTCTTTGCTCTTTGCGTAAATGTAGATATATCACTAAAATGTGTATAATTTTTTATTAAAACTAATATAAAATGAATGGTGTGACAGAGAAAAATATTTAGCGGTCTACACCCTAACTGTAATATTGACAACTGTAAGTCATTGTCTGATTAGATAAAGTATAATGTCAATGTACTTTCTATATGTACAATCAAGTCAATAACAATAATCTATATTCTACATGTATGATAACTTATACATGCACATAATCGTCTATCAACTGACGTGTTGTAACCAGTTGAAAGTTGAAGACAAAAATCTAAAATAAATTTTCTAATAAGTTGATTGCTTTGCTAGCATGTTTCAAAATGTATAATAGTTTCCTCTGTTAAATCAGATTTGATTAGAAATTGATATCGATATTTCCATGCTTTCGTATATATCTAATAAAGAGTTTGCTTACTACAATAATATGTTGTATCATCCGCGACAAACGCTGTCCAGAGAAAGGCGGCAGTATAAGAGGCGGTGCCTATCAGGCATATCCAGATCTCGTCCAGAAACAGTTGAAACAACTTCACAGACGTTAGTCCAATAAACATGAACGCCAGCGTCCTTACTGCAGCATAGACCCCTACTTTGGTTACACTCCAGCAAAATGGCGGGGCAAGTTGATAAAGGGTTTCAGTTGGCAGTCGGGGCACTATAACTTATACTG